TAAATAAATAAATAAATAATAACTGAAACAGAGAAGAGGCAAGCCTGGAGAAAAATGAATAGTGCCTGAGATAAGACATCAGATTGTCTAAAATACGTACAACTGAAGGTAAGGAAAGGAAAGGGGAAGGGAGGGGCACAGAAGATATGTTTGAAGAAATAATGTCTAGAAGTTTTCTAAATCTGATAAAACTATAATTCCATAGAACCCCAAGCAGGACAAACTTGAAACCCCACACCAACGCACATTATAATCAAATTCTAAAATCAGTGACAACAAGATCGTTAAAGCAAAGACTTGCTACACACAGATTCTCAGAGACTTCTCATCAGAAGCTATGCAAGCTGAGGGATAATGGAACTTTCCTGGAACAAGAAAGAAAACTGCCGACTTTGAATTTTATACCCAGCCCTTTAAGCAGTGATGGCAAAAGTAAAGCTTTTTGTCACCAGCAAATCTGCACCACAGGACTAGTAAAGGAAGTTCTTCAAGTGAGAGCCAAATGAGATGGACTGGAAACAGCTGAGTTCATACAGAGGGGTTCCCCTCACTTTTCAATTTCTCTTAAAGATGACTGACTGCTTAATGCAAAAAAAAAAAATATGATGACAGTGGGAGTGGAGCAGCATGAGTGTCAAAGTAAGCTGTATTCCATGGGCACACAAGGAAGGGGGTGCTGTTCTGGGTTCCCCTAGTGGGTCCACCTCATGCTGGAGCCGTGGTTCCTTTCCAAGGATGCCTTTCCCCACATGGTCTTGAATTAGCCGGGTCACAGGAGACATTTTGCATGACATTTGGAGAATGCAGTAGAATAGCAGCTGTTTGCCATTTTTTCCCTGTCACTCAGAAAGCTGATGCAGGGACAGCAGGTGCTGCCGGGCACACACACTGGCCCTTCACCGCTGGGTCACCTCATTGTCTGGAGCCAGCAGGGAGTTCCCCAGCTCCTGCTCCAGCTGGACACCCCTCAGTCTCTCTGTGCCCTGGCCCAGATGTGTGTTTGTTTATTTGTTTAGTTTTAAAGATTTTTTTTGAAAGGCAGAGTTACAGAGAGAGGAGGAGACACACACACACACACACACACATATACAGAGCGATCTTCCATCTGCTGGTTCACTCCCCAAATGGCTGCAACAGGAAGGCTGGGCCAGGCCAAAGCCAGGGGCAAGGAACTTTTTCCGGGTCTCCCACATGAGTGCAGGGGCCCCCAAGCACTTGGGCCATCTTCTGCTGCTTTCCCAGGCCATAGCAGGGAGCTGGATCAGAAGTGGGGCAGCTGGAACTCAAGCCCATGTCCATATGGGATGCCAGCATCACAGGTGGAGGCGTAACTTGCTACGCCACAATGCCAGCACCAGGTGTGGGACACCAGGTGTGCCGTACAGGTTCTAGATTGTTCCTGCTCTCCCTCCTGCTCCCCCCACTTTCAATCCACTTCCCTCTGCCAAACTGCACTGTCAGTGCGCCAGCACCAGACACACGGAGCCGTGTTTTGCTGACTCTTCAGCCAACCCCATGAAATTGTATAAGATCCCTTGCTTTGTATCACTCTCAATGTTCTGTTTCTTTGAACACGAATATGAGAAGTCTTCAAGTTCATGGGAAATGTGCATTAAGACAAAACTACATGAACTGAAAACTTCTTTTGTACCAAAATAACCTCATCTTTTTATTTTCTGCTTTTCCACAGGCTGAAAGTGCTCACATACGTAAAGCGGCACAAGATTACGGGACTGGGAGGTGAAAGGTCAAAGACCCGTATCATTCACCCTAAAGCAACTATTCACAAAAACACTCAGAATAAGATGGAATAATTTTCTTAAAATAATCAACCCAAAAGAAATCCAGGAAAGGGAAATTAAGGGACAACACGGTGGCGAAGCTAGTAAACCACCTCCTGGGGTGCCGGCAGCCCCTTTGGGTGCTGGTTTGTGTCCCGGCTGCTCCACTTCCGATCCAGCTCTCTGCTATGGCCTGGGAAAGCAGTGGAAGATGGCCCAAGTCCTTGGGCCCCTGCACCCATGTGGGAGACCCGGAAGAAGCTCCTGGCTCCTGGCTTTGGATCGGTGCAGCTCCGGCCATTGCAGCCACTTGGGGAATGAACTATTGGATGGAAGACCTTTCTCTCTCTCTCTCTAACTCTGCCTTTTTTTAAAATGTATTTATTTATTTGAAAGACAGAATTAAAGAGATGCAGAGGCAGAGAGAGACAGATAAAGAGGTCTTCCATCTGCTGGTTCACTCTCCGGATAGCCACAACAGCCAGAGCTGTGCTGATCTGAAGCCAGGAGCAAGGAGCTTCTTCCAGGTCTCCCACATGGGTGCAGGGGCCCGAGCCCCTGGGTCGTCTTCCACTGCTTTCCCAGGCCATAGCAGAGAGCTGGATCGGAAATGGAGCAGCCGGGACTCAAACTGGTGCCCACATGGGATGCTGGCACTGCAGGCGGCGGCTTGACCCACTACACCATAGCGCCGGCTCCATCTGCCTTTCAAATAAATAAATAAACCTTTTTAAAAAACCACATTCATCCGTGAGAAAGGGATCTATCAACCAAGAGGCGAGAACTCTCCCAAACACACCTGCGTCTCATAACAGAGCAGCAGAATACCTGGAGCCAACATGGACACACCTGCAAGGAGAAAATGACAAATCCCTAATTAGAGCCGGCAGTGCCGACACCTCTGTAATGCACGGGGCAGGAGACGGAAAGCCAGCGGGGATCAAGGCGGCTTGGGCACCAGCAGCTGACTTGGCCTAATTGCCTTTATTGTCCTCCCCACCCGAGAGTAGAGCACACAGCACTCCCAGGCCACACGGCACCCGCTCCCGGGTGCGTGGACAGCTTCGGCATGAAGTGAGTCTCCATGCACTCCCAGGGACTGACACGCCAGCGTGCTGGGGAGGGGAAAGATAAGGTGGGGCGCAGGCTCCTTCAGCCGAAAGACACAAAGAGAAACATTGGTATGAGAATTGTGCGTGTTTTTACTGTTTTTTGTTTGTTTGTTTGTTTGTTTGTTTGTTTTATTTGAGAAGCAGAGTTACAGAGAGAGAGAGAGAGAGGGCGGGCAGGCGGGAGAGGTCTTCTATCCACTGGTGTACTCCCCAAATGGCCGCGATGGCCAGGCTGAAGCCAGGAGCCCCTCTGGGTCTTAAGACCTAGCTCCTGGGGCTGGCATTGTGGTGTAGTGGGTAAAGCCGCCGCCTGCAGTGCTGGCACCCCATATGGGCACCGGTTCAAGTCCGGTCTGTTCCACTTACGGTCCAGCTCTCTGCTGGGAAAGCAGTGGAGGATGGCCAAGTCCCTGGGCCCCTGCACCTGCATGGGGGACCTGGAAGAAGCTCCTGGCTCCTGGCTCTGGATCGGTGCAGCTCTGGCCGTTGCAGCCATTTGGGGAGTGAACCAGCGTATGGAAGACCTCTTTCTCTCTCTGCCTCTCCTTGTCTCTCTGTGTAACTCTGACTTTCAAATAAAATAAATAAATCTTAAAAAAAAAAAAAAAAAGACCTAGCTGCTGTCCACCCAGGCTGTGCATCAGGAGGGACGTCCAGGCCCGTGGTGGGTCCGGGAGGCTGAGGGTCTGCAGAGAAGCTGGTAGAGTCAGCATCTGTGGTGCCGCCTCCACCCCTGGGCTCCGGGATGGGTCCCCCGGCCGTTCCCTTCCTGGGGATTCCAGACACCGCCGCCTCCAAGCCGACAGGGCATCAGCTCTGCGTTCCTCCCTTCCTCCCCTCCTCAAGACGCTGCTTTCCTCCAGTGATTGCCTTAGCTGATGGCACCATCCAGAAACTCGGAAGTCGCCTCCCCCCGCACCCCCTGCCCGCCTGTTCCCACAGTTAATGGCCCAAGCCCCGTGGGGTCTCTTTCATTGCTCTCGCAGCCCGCTTTTCCCTCCCCATCGCCACCTCCAAGCTCAAGGCTCTGCATCCCCTGATCGGCCCAGGCCTCGGCCGCCTCCTGTCTGCTCCGCCCTGCGCACTCCCAGGCTCCGCAGGCTTAAAGGCCACACAAGACACATTTCCTGTGTGAAAATATTTACTGCAGGCCAGCACAACCCAAAGAAAGGAATTAATGAGCCAATAAATAGAAGTGAGAAGGAGCTCCCCTTGAGCCCCCTGCCCCATTTGGAGCACATTAACATGGGGGCGGGGCGGCGCTGTGGTGTAGTGGGTAAAGCTGCCGCCTGCAACACCGGCATCCCATATGGGCACCGGTTCAAGTCCCGGCTGCTCCACTTCTGACCCAGCTCTCTGCTGTGGCCTGGGAAAGCAGTGGAAAATGGCCCAAGTGCTTGGGCCCCTGCACCCACGTGGGAAGACCCAGAGGGGGCTCCTGACTCCTGGCTTTGAATTGGCATAGCTCCGGCCGTTGTGGACAACTGGGGAATGAGCCAGTGGATGGAAGGCTTCTCTCTCTCTCTCCTTCTCTCTCTGTGTAACTCTGACTTTCAAATAAATAAATAAATATTTTAAAAAATTGGGGGGAACAGTCTTCCAATCCTCTTCTACACCTTCAGTGCTTTATGTATTTATTTAGGCAAGTTGGACTGTTCTAGGCAGCCTGCGAGGATGACCCTGACCACGGGGGGCTGTCTCGGGTTTTGCACTGAAGTTCCTGCATCCGGGTAGATGCGGGCTTGGTCCCCTGCTTTGCTGACTAAGGGACTCGCCCCTTGCATTGAGAATAACACAGCAGCTGAGCTTCACAGGGCCACGGCGGGGGGTGGGCAGGGGAAGCGACGCCCAGGCGGGCTCCTGCTCGCCTCCTTCCCCTCTTTGGGGCGCCCCGCGCCACACAGCAATGAGCTCGGAGTGGGTGTGGGGTGCAATCCTGGGAGTGCGAGAGAAGAGCCGTTGGCTCAAGGTCGACCAAGCGCAGAATGTCTTTTCCTGTGTCTCGAGTTAGGGCTTCAGTTCTCCTGTCTGTGTGTGTCTATAACACACACGCTGTGTCTGTGTGAGTGCGTGTGAATCATTTAGCCATGAAGAAGTCTCACGCCAGGAAGGGGGCTTGTTGTGGTTTATTTTGAGCGTGATCCTCAGAGCGGGAGACACTCGCCCAGCTGATCCAGTGTTGACTTCCCCGCAGTCCGGGAACCTCCAGTGGCCCCGACGCCCCGCCTGCCACACCCAAGCAGGCCTGTTGTTCAACACCTGCGTTCTCCCTTCCAAGCCTCTCCCCGAGCTGCCGTCCGCTCACCCACTCCACTTCCAGACTGATGAGACCCAGAGCTAGAGCCACCTCTGCCGTGAAGCCCTCCCAGACACACACACACACACACACACACACACACTCATCTGCAGCCCAGCCCGTCCAGCCCGGGTGCCCCGCCTCTGTGTTTCCATGGTGCCCTGTGCTTACCTGCTCCATAACACTGACTTCATAGCTTGATAATTGCCTGTTTCGCCCTCTGCGACTTCCTCAAGGTCAGGGATCGCCCTTCAGGTCTGAATCCCTGGTAGCTGCCCAACCCAGGGCCCGCCGTGGCACCGTCTCTTAGGAAATGACAAAAGAATAAACAAACAACAGCAGCAGATGTGTATACAACCCTTGGTACGCTCCAGGCAGGGCTCCGGCATTTGCACACACTCCCTCCCTTAGCACGAAACCCCCACCAGGCGGGCACTTCTCGTGCCTGCGCTTAGCAGATGAGGACACGGAAGCGCAAAGAAGTCGCGGCACAGCCAGGAATCGGCAGAGCCGGGATTCGAACCCAGGCAGACTGGCCTCTCACTCAGTGTGCTATGATGCCTCTCAGTGAACCACTGACTTGACTGAACAAATGAATGAACGAATGAAGGGGGTGTGAAGGAGCCGCTGAGTGAGGAACCGGCTGCCAGGACAAGGCACCAGGAGACCAGCTGCCCACGCCAGCTGGCTGCGCTCGCTCTAAGATGCCCTTGTCAGTTTCCAGCTGATGCCGGGTTTTGGTTGGTGCTTAGGGCGAGCGAGTTTGGCTCCTCACCCTCCACCGTTGTTGTCCCCCTGAACGGGCCTGGGCAGCAACCATCAGCACGGCGGGGTGCCGAGTGCTGCAGCTGGAGGTCCACCTGGGGCCCCCCTGTTCACCCTTCCATTCTGCTCGTGGGAAGACTGAGGCCCAGAGAGGCAGAGCAACTTGCCCCAGGTCACACAGCAGATTGGTGCAGAGCGGAGACCGGGCCCGGCCTCCTGGTTTCCCGTCTGCCTCACTTTACTAACCGGCCGTGTTCATTGCTTCAAGTTTGTCAATCAAAAGACATTCAGGCAGTAGCAGAACAGGCAGGTGTGATGATTTCTCAGTTGCAGACCCGCTTGTGGTTGGTTTGCAGAGGTCCTGGCGCAGGGAGGTGAGGAATTCAGGGTTGAAGCCCTGCGCTCCCTCCAGGCAGAGCGAACTTGCTGAGGGCTCCCCGCGGGCAAGCGGCGTTCCTGGGCTGTGCCCTTGGCGCCTCCGACACACGGCGGCCCTCTCTGCTTTATTCCTCTTTAGCGATGGGTTTACGTATGTGAAAGCAGAGTAGAGTGATGGACAGAGAGGGAGAGAGAGAGAAAGAGAGAGAGAGAGAGAGAGAGAGAGGTCTTCCACCTGCTGATTCATTCCTCAAAATGGCTGCAATGGCCTGGGCTGGGCCAGGTTGAAGCCAGGAGCCAGGGGCTCCATCTGGGTCTCCCATGTGGGTGGGTGCAGGGGCCCAAGCACTTGGGCCGTTATCCCCTGCTTTCCCAGGCACATTAGCAGGGAGCTGGATCGGAAGTGGAGCAGCCGGGACTCGACCCAGCGCTCACAGGGATGCCGGCATCCTGACCCGGCCTAACCCGCTGCATCCCAACTCTGGCCTTCAGTCTCGTCTTAGAGATGAGTGAGTTGAGGCTCACGGGGATGAGCAGAGAGGCCAGCCCCTGCGGATTTCCTGGGACTGCTTCTGCGCTGAAACTGAGTCCCCTGTCCCAGGAAGCGCCTCCCAGGGGCGGGCTCCGGGAGCAGATCTGCTGGCAGGTCTCACGCCCTCTTCCTCCCCACCTGCTGCCTGCTCTGCATAAACAAACAGTGTGCAGGCAGGTACGGACGGGCAGGGTCTGGAAGGGGGCGAGACCCAGGGGCAGCTCTGAAGCCAGGTCTGGGTGAGGGGAGGAATGCCACCAGGTGTCAGCCGGGGCAGGACAGTGGCCTCTGCTCCGACTCTCCTCCCTCTGGCCCAGGAGGGCTCTGTGTGCCCAGAACCTGTTATCCTGGCCAGAAGCCGGGTTCTTGACAGGCGGGGACAACCAAGCCCTGGGACCCTTGCCCGGAGGCCTGGTTGGGGGCTGCGGGAAGGTGTGTGGAGCACAGGGCAGGGCTCCCCGCCCACCATGAAGGCCCCTGGGAGACAGAGCCCCCTGCTGGGACAGGACTGTCCCCATTGCCAGAGTGGCCAGCCACCTCCCCAGAGCACTCAGAGTGGGAACCATCGCCTGCTGGCTACAGAAGAGGAAACCAAGGCCCTGAAGGGGGCTGTCCCTTGGTGACATCACGCAGCACCAATGATACAGAGCTGTGACCCCTCCCTCCCCGCCTGGCACCTTCCTCCACGGGAGGCCGTGACATGGGGACACAGAGACAGATTCTGTCCACTGTGCACATCCATGTAACCGCTGTCCCCATACCTGCTGGACACCCAGCTAGATGGCCCCTACCTTCTGCTGGCGTCCCCTGACCCCTGACCCTTGACCCCTGAACTGGGGCGAGGGCCCTGTCTTAGACCCTGAGCAGCCACAGTTTCTCTGGTTTGAGGTGCAAAGACCCTGGCCAGTCTCCCCGTGCAGGAACTGACGCCCCCACCCCTTTCACCGAGGCGTTTCCTGGTCGAACAATAAAACAATAGGTTCATTCATTCCTATCTGCCACGGCAGCCCGATGGCGCCCACTTCCCGGTCCTCCCGCAGGCACTTCTGTGGCTCCTGCTCCCCATCCCAGCCTGCATCTCGCAGCTCACGACTCACAGTGTGGTCCCAGCTCTGGGCATCGGTGCCTCCGAGAGCTCGCTGCAAAGGCAGGCACTCGGGCCCCGCTCCAGACCTCTGGCTCTTGGCTCACGGCTCGGAAACCGTTGGACGTCATTGCGTCATCGTGCACCGCCTTGCTGGAGACTTGCTACAAATCCTACCATGTGGCTGACGTCAGACCCCTGGCTACGGGTGACCCTGGGCTCCAGAGAGGAGAGACGACTCTCTCAGGCTCAACAGGTGGGGGTCAGCCCCGGGGTCTGCCCCCAGACAGGACAGGGGCACTGATGTTGCTCGTAGAGCAGGCTGCTGGGAGAAGCTGGCCCGGTCAGAACACCAGGGCCCTTCACCAGCTCAGCCCAGACGCAGAAGCCCAGGACCTTGCGGTGTCACTCCTCAGCCTGCTCCAGGCCTGCAGAGCGGGTGCTGCCACTGGCGGCAGAGACAGCGCCAGGTGCCGGCTCCCTGAGCGGGGGCGGCTGGGTCCCTGCTCTGCTCACACCTGGCCTCTCTCCTTGCGCCACAACCCACCCTCCTTATCTCCCCCTCCCAACACTTGGCTTAATCATTACCCTGCTCTGGCACAGCACAAACACCCGGGGATCAGCAGCAAGGGCTCCCACAAATTCCTGAGATGCCTCCGGGCCCCTTCCTGCTCCCAGGGTTTTGCCGACCCCTCCCCACCTGACCTTGCAGGTGAAGGCCATGGACGGATGCCTTCACCTCACGGGCCTCAGCCTCTCCAGCTCTGAAATGGATGGGTTATAACGTGGCCTGCCACGTGGTTGCAAGAAGCATCAGGGGTACGTGGAGGCGGCTGCCAGGACCCTAACACAGCCTGGGCCCGCGTGCGAGAAGAGGACGGAACACAACCAGGGCAGGGAGCCAGATGTGTGTGCCTGGGAGGACGTGGCCCCCAGCAGATCCAGGCAGCGCAGGCAGGCTGGGAACTCAGCACAGGGGCGCAGGGAGGCGGGGAGCCCCAGTGCACAGCCCCTGGGCGTCCCTGCAGGAGACTTCGGCTCCTGGGGTCAGGGCCAATCGGGGACTTCAAGGGCACATGGCCTTCCAGAGGAGGGCGGTGGCCAAGAAGCCAGGCTGACTGGCAGGGGCGGTGGCTGTGAGCACCTGAGACTCGGGGACACACTCGACCCCCAGATCTGATTAGGCGAGGTTGGCAGGAGCCGGGTGCTCCTGAAATCTGGGGGAGTTATTAGCGCAACCGGGATTGCAGGCGCGGGCTGGGGCCACCTGGGGAGACGGGCTGGGCGCAAGGAGGGGCAGGGCCAGGACACGCAGCGGCAGAGCCCGGGGTCCAGCCAGGGCTGCGAGCGCTCAGCCTGGGCTCACGTCACCCAGCCTCTCCCACACCGGGACACAGGGCACAAGGCACACCCGGGGCAGGGGCGGGAGGCCCGCTCACGTCCTTATAAAGTGAAAACCCTGGGTGAGTCAGGCCGCGGGCCGGCCAGCTCATTCACTGTGAAAGTATTCTCTCCTCAGCTCTTTTCTGCTAAGCCTTTCACCGCGGCCCAGGTGAGGTCAGCGGCTGCGGAGCGCGCGCAAAACTCTGGGCTTTTTGCTTCTGTCGAACCCGCCAAACCGCCAGGGGAGCTGGCGGCCTGGGGCAGTGCCAAGGCCACCGGGCTGAGTCCTGGCCTGCACGCAGGTCCCACTCTGTCCCCTTTGAGCTTCTGGACCTTGACCGAGGCAAGTCTCAGCTCTGGGCCTCGGTTTCTTTGTTCGTAAAATAAAGTCACCACGATGGAGATGACTCTAAAGAAACGTACAGCAGAGCCGGCCCTGTGGCGCGGCGGGTAAAGCCGCTGCCTAGGAAGCCAGCATCCCATGTGGGCGCCAGTTCAAGTCCCGGCTGCTCCTCTTCTGATCCAGCTCTCTGCTAATGCACCTGGGAAAGCTGCAAGAGGACCCAAGTCCTTGGCCCTTGCACCCACATGGGAGACCTGGAAGAGGCTCCTGCCTCCTGGCTCCTGGCTTTGGTCTGGCTCAGCCGCACCATTGTGACCATTAGGAGAGTGAACCAGTGGATGGAAGATTTCTCTATCTCTGTAACTCTGATTTTCAAATAAAATCTTAAAAAAAAAAAAAAAAAGAGGGACCAGTGTTGTGGCATAGCAGGTAAAGCTGCCTCCTGCAGTGCCAGCATCCCAATATGGGTGCCAATTCGAGTCCCGGCTGCTCCTCTTGCAGTCCAGCTCTCTGCTGTGGCCTGGGAAAGCAGGACCGGGGCCAGGCGCCACCACCAGGACAGGGCTGCTCTGTGGACAGCAGGAGGGAGGGAGTCAGGACCGGGCTCGCAGCCACCTGGGGCAGTTTCCCACTGCGATCAGCTGCCTTCCCAGGGGACTTTGGGAAATGTGGGTGAAACTTAATTTGGGGCCAAAGCAGACACCATCGTAGACTCAGTGACGGCACAGAACAGAGGCGGTAAGTACTGGACAAGTGGCGGCTGATGGTATTCTAGCCACTCATTGTACTTTTCTGTGATTTGAAAAGCCCCTGCTATGATCTGGTGTTCACGAACTGCAGCGAAACTTCAGCCCAGCAGTCGTTCCCGGGAGGCGAGTCTGTGGCTGAACTCAGCATTCGCCTGCCCGGGACGCAGGATCCTCGGGGACACCAGGCTGTGCCTGGGGGTGGGGGCCCCGGGACCCTTGGGCTGCTGCCCTGTTGCTGTGGATTCATTCTGAGAGGAGGAGGCAGTGGAGGCAAGAGGCGTGGAGTCACGACACAGACCCCAGGAGCCGGGTGAAAGTGGGCTAGGGTGAGCAGCCCGCAGACTCGTTTATTTCAGTTGGAGCAGCAGCTTATATAGCCAAGGCAGCCAATCCAGTCAAGGGGTGGTCTATGCCCTAACCAATCACAGCCTGTCGCCAGGCAGGCTCCTTTGCCAGGTGGGTTCTGAAGCCATTCCTGAGTAACTGACGCTCACTTGCCAGTCCCATCTTGGCATGGCCTCCTCATTCCCCCACAGTGCCGGAGAGTAAATCACACCCTGTCCGAGGTCCGCTTCCTTCTGTTTCAGGAGGGGAGAAAACGCAGGTGCCGGCCCAGGCACTACTCCTGTCTTACAAAGGGCACACGGGCCGATCGAGGGGCAGCCCGTTACCCGGACCCAGCGGTGCACACCCGGGGAGCCGAGGCTGCCGAGGCACCTCCCTGGCCTCAGCTCAGGGTTCAGCACAGGGAGGCCACTCAGAAAACACCGAGGGAGAGGAGAAAGAAGGGAGAGGAGGGACCGCTGCTTGCCACAGGAGACTCTAGGTGTGTCGGGTCGCAGCTTCAACGGTGGCGTCAAGTGCAGGAACACTAAATACTCAACAACCCGGAATTCTCGCTGCTTTCTTTAGGGCTGTAATGGGTATAGGCCACAGGTGTGGGAAACATCCAGCCCCTGGGCAGCATCACTGGGTTGGGCCCTGGCAAGGCGACCGTGGGCAAGACTCCAATTCCAATAAATGGAGAGCAGGCTAAGTATTTTATTTTTTTGTTTAAAGGTTTATTTTATTTATTTGAAATACAGAGTTACAGAGAGAGGTAGAGGCAGAGAGAGAGAGAGAGGTCTTCCATCTTCTGATTCACTCCCCAGATGGCCACGATGGCCGGAGCTATGCCGATCCAAAGCTAGGAGCCAGGAGCTTCTACCAGGTCTCCCACACAGGTGCAGGGGCCCAAGCACTTGGGCCATCTTCTACTGCTTTCCCAGGCCATAGCAGAGAGCTGGATCGGAAGAGGAGCAGCCGGGACTAGAACCGGCACCCATATGGGATGCTGGGGCTTCAGGCCAGGGCTTTGACCTGCTACACCACAGTACCGGCTCCAGGCTAAGTATTTTCTGAAAATTATTTGCGTATTTATTTGAAAGGCAGAATTACAGAGAGGGAGGGACAGACAGAGAGAGATCTTCCATTCACTGGTTCTCTCCCCAAATGGCTACAAAGACATGGGCTGGGCCAGGCTGAAGCCAGGAGCCTGGATCTTCATCAGGGTCTCCCATGTGGATGGCAGGGACCCAAGGACTTGGGCCAATTTCTGCTGCTTTCCCAGGTGCATTAGCAGGGAGGTGGATTGGAAGAGGAGAAGCCAGGACTTGAACCGGCGCCCGTAGGGGATGCTGGCATTGCAGACGCTGCCTTAACCCGCTGTGCTACAACGCCAACCCAGCAGGCTAATCTTGAAGCTGATGATTTTGTATGGCCCACAAATGATGTTATAAAGATCCGAACGGCCC